CGTTCAAACAGTTCTTAATGGATCATTTCCACGAGTGAGTGATAAACAACAAACAACATCACTTGTAACAGGTATTACACGAAGTGGAAAATCATTTAATATATTAAATCAAACATCAAATCATGATTCTTCATTACCATTTTTAAATAATTCAGTTGGATCACCAGGAGCATCAGCCCGACTACATCATACAACTGTTCATCATCATTCTCATCATCATCATCATGGAGCTGCAGCAGCAACAGCAAGAAGTTTACGAAGAGAAAGAACTCGAGAAGGAAGTCTTAAATCATCATCAAAAGATACAGATCTAACAAGTAGTCATCATGGATTTCAACAACAACAACAACAACAACAACAACATCATCATTCTCATAATACAAGTGGTTCATCTATTGTTTCAAATTCACATCAATATTCTCGATCAAAAAGTTTTTTTACAAATACATCATCTGATAGTATTAATAAACCTCCTACTTTTCCAATGAAGCCATCTGGTTAGTTTATATTATTCATTTTAGAAGAAGAAAAAACTTTATAAATAAATAATTTATTTATTTTTAATTTTAGAAGCTTTAACATATTATGGTGATAAATTAACTGAATTTGAAAAAACTGAAATATTTGATTATAATGAAATATATTTTCTTGGTTTGGAAGCTGAAAAAATATCTGCAACAAATATTAAAGATTATGATGATGAAAATGGTTCTTATATGAAAATGAGTAAAGATCATATTTGTTATCGTTTTGAAATCTTAGAAACATTGGGTAAAGGTTCATTTGGTCTTGTACTTCGTTGTTATGATCATAAAAAAAAAGAAGCTGTTGCATTAAAAATAATTCGAAATAAAAAACGTTTTCAACAACAAGGTCTTGTTGAAGTTAATATATTAACACATTTAAAAACATTAGATTCGGATAATTCATTAAATGTTGTTCATATAAAAGAACATTTTTATTTTCGATCTCATCTTTGTATTACATTTGAATTACTTGGGTAAGAAGTTTTTTTTTATTTCTTTTTAATTTAATTTAATTTAATTTTATTATTTAGAATTAATTTATATGAATTAATTAAAAAAAATAATTATCAAGGTTTTAGTGTACATTTAGTCAGACGTTTTGCTAATTCACTTTTACAATGTCTTCGTGTTATGTATAGAGAAAAAATAATTCATTGTGATCTTAAACCAGTAAAATTTATTTATTGTTAAATTTATATCAAACATAAAATATTTTTTTTAGGAAAATATATTATTAAGACAAAAAGGAAGCAGTAGTATTAAAGTTATTGATTTTGGATCTGGTTGTTTTGAATCACAACGAAGTTTGTTTTTCTTTTTTTTTTTTGCATTTGAATTTAGAAAAATCTTTATGAAATTTGTTTTTTTTCTTTTAGTTTATACTTATATTCAATCGCGTTTTTATCGAGCACCAGAGATTATCTTAGGTATACCTTATACACCAGCGATTGATATGTGGAGTTTTGGTTGCATTCTTGTCGAACTATTTACTGGTATGTTAACATTATTATTAAAAAAATTAATTTATCTTTATTAGATTATGATGACATATATTATGAAGATATACTTCAATATATGAAATATTTTTCAATAGTCTAAAACGAAAAAAGAACTCGATTATATTTTCTACCAAAACTATATCTTTATCATAGGTTCTAGTTAAATATTGACAAAGTTCAATGTCGAACTCATTGACCTAAGTAATAATTGTCTGTTTTGACTTTTCTATTGCATCAATTATTGATACATTAGAAAATATTGACTTCATTCATTTCTAATTCTTATGATTTCCATATATTTTCTTTTGTACACTACTTAAAATGCAAAAAATCATCTCTATTCATTAGAGTTGATCACAATTGGACCCGATCGTCTTTACTTTTCATTCGTTCTTGATTTGTTTTTGAGTAAGACATTATGATGAGTCTTGTTGTTTATAACATAGAAAAACCGTACCATGCAACTGCAAAAAAATATTAACGAAGGGAAAAGGAAACAAGAGATTGTTAACATGAAATGTAGAATGGCCAAGAAGTCGATATTTTGAATATTCATGTGCACTGATTAAATGATGAAATAATAAAAAGCTTTTTTTTTTTGAGAGTAGAAATCATGTAGAATTCATATTAATTTCAATGTTCATTTAGCATATATTTAATAAGTAGATTAAATGGCAATAGTTTCTAGTTGAAAACAAAACTAGTAGTTATATTTATGAAAAGATAGAATATCATTGGGAATCGTATCAATTGAGACCATTGTATAGTTCTGCTGAGCAACAGCAGCACTATGAAATATATCAATTAGGTTTTTTGCAACAATGAATAAGAACTTCGAACAAGGAGAATAGAGTTAGACATTATTTTGTAATTTCGATTAATTTTTAGTTAATGTCAATATATTATAATATAATATTGTATTTATAAAGGTTATCCAATATTTCCTGGTGAAAATGAACAAGAACAATTGTCAATGATAATGGAAGTAATTGATTTACCACCAAACCATGTTCTTGAACAAGGAACTCGCAGAAAATTATTCTTTGGTTTGTTTATTTTTCAATAATATTTAATAAGATTTAAAATAATTAAAAAAAAAAACAAAAAATTTAGATTCCAAAGGAATTCCTCGAACAGTCGCAACAAAATCGTTAAAAAAACGTCGTCCAGCTAGTCGTCCATTAGGACAAATTCTTCGAACAACTGATAATAATTTTATTGATTTTATTCGTCGATGTTTTGAGTTTGTTTTAAATGAAAAAAAAGAAAGGATTTTCTTAAAAGATTAATATATTATTTAGATGGGATCCTGTTGAACGTTTAACACCAGAAGAAGGTTTACGTCATCCATGGATTGTTGAAACAAAATTAAAACGATCATCACATGAATCACGAACACGATATAAAACAAAAAAAGATGATCATAATAATACTACTAATCATAATACATCAATAATTAATGGAGATTCATGTTAGACTTTTCTTGTTTTTGATTAATTATTATTTTTATTTTTATTTCTAAATAGATTTTAGTTTAAATGAAACAACTGGCCATGAAGATACTGTTGCAATTGAAGAAGATAAACAAATAAGAAATGGTGGTTCATCAACAATGTTTCCTCGAATTTCTAATCAATAATCAATCGGTGACTTTATTATTATTCAACTCAACTCAAAAAAACAAAACAAAAAACAAAACAAAAAAAAAAAAAAAGAATAGCGTTCTTTCATTTTTCTTTGTACAGAACACCGATTTATATCTTTTGTTATTCCATTTTTTTTTTTTTTTCTTTCTTTCTTAATAATTTATCAAGATTTTTTCAATTTAATCATTGATGATTGTTTTAGGCTAATTAACAACAAAGAAAACAATTTATTATTTTATAATATTCATTGAAAATAATTCAATAATTTATGTCTACAAGATTTTTTTGGCATAATATGTCTTGTCAATTTTCATTCGATGAAAGTCATTGAAGAAAATTATAAATAATCAATTAATATCACGATTTCATCTTCTATATAATAATAATATATTCAAAATTCTTTTTTTCTAACATATTAATGCTGATTGATAAAATTTAATATAGATAAGAAGAAAAAAAGAAGAATCTTTCTTAAAGTACGCAAAGTAAGATTCTTTTTTGTATTTTGGGACAGTTATGATTTTCTAACTTTAATCATCGACTAAAGTGAGTAAAAAAAAAAAAAACAAAGTTCAAAACAATTTTTGAAACATCATTCATCAAATGAGAAGAGAATTTTTAATAGAAATTGTTCTTTTTTTTGTCGAATTTCAGTACTTAGATGTTAGATTTTTCGATCACTTATAGTTATGAATGAAGAGAGAAGAAATTGTCGATATTCTACATCAATTTTTACTCTATAAAAGTACTTATCAATAAATAATTTATTCTCCTATAATATTAGCAGAGATCTAAATAGTTATTTAAATATCCAATGATCTTTGCTATCTAATCGATTCTATAGAAACAATTCATAGAAGAACTATGACGACATAGTTTCTAAAAACACAAAAGGACACGGGACTTTTTCGTATTGCCGAAGACTTTGTTGAAATTCTTTTTTCTTTTTTTTTTTGTAACAATATTCTGAAGAAAATGTAAGATCATCGTTCCATTCAATCGTTAAAAACCATCAAGTTGTAGAGAACATGATGATTCTTCGTTTTGTTTATCATGTTGTATTCTTTAACATAATGTTGTAGAAGAAATAGCTTCAAAAAAGTCTTCTAATATTTGAAAATTTCCGTATTCAGTTTTTTCAAAATCTTATCATTTTGATTTAATCTATAAAATGTCAATATAGAATTCATTATATAGAAAAAGTTAATTAGCTACAAAAATCAATATTTATATTTGAGTGTAGGTGTTTAAAACATTATAGAAAATAATATCAAAAGTACGTTGTTGTTGTTGTTGTCAATTTATTTATTCACTATTTAATATGATAAATTCTGTACAAATATTATGTTTGGTTTCTCTCAATCAATTAATTTTAAGGCAGAAAGAAAAAAAGTGGAAAATATCTAGTTATAAAAACAGAGTGAAATTTTGATTTTAGTTAATTACATTTGATTGAATTTATTGACATAGAATTGAACGAAAATTGACGAGACATGTTGTGCAAAGATTTTCTACATAAATGTTAGGTTATAATGTATTAAGTTTTAGAAGATTGAAGAAAATATTGTTACTTTTGTATTCATAATAGAACAAAAGAAAAAAAAATCATTGTAAATGAATGATGATCATCAATGCATCGTCATTGACAAATGAATCTTCTCTATTTGCTTTTTCTCTTTTTTTTTTGACAAGTAAAGAATATTGATCTTTCATTAGAAATAAAATCAATATTTGAATAATACGAAAAGAAATGATTTTTAATTTTAAAGAAGGTCCATTTTATTTTTGTTTTAATCAGTGAACTATCAATATAGTATATATATTATATTATGGATATTAGTCATTATTCACAAACGAACTATTATTTTATTCTTATTATTAAATTATCTTTATTCATTCAAGGTTCAATTTTTATTTCTATTTAAAAAAAAAGAGTAAATCATGTTTTATATTTAGGTCAATTCTATTTACCTAATGAATGTTTTATGACATTTAATAATGCATCAATAATATTTGATCCTTCAAATCCAAATGGATCGTATGATGAATTTGTTTTTTGTTTTTATTTTTCTAAATATTGTTTTGTCTTAGTATATATATATGTCCATCGTCATGTTATACAAATCGATATCTATATAATCAACAAGAATATCCATTATTTGGTAATGAAACATATTCAGGAGTGAGTTAACATTTGAAAATGTTTTTAAAAAAAAAAAATTCTTTAAAAAAATATTTTTCAAGAATTCATTAATATGTAAAGCAGCTTTACATGATGGTCGTATTGCTCTATGGAATAGAGAAAATTTAACAGTATTAATAAGAAATAATTCATATAAATCATCAACATTTATAAGTACTCTTAGAAATGGAATTCTTTCATCGAAATCAGTTGGTTATTTAGATTTTGTTTATCAATTTATTAATTCTCGAATAAATGGTTTGAATAAATAATATTTAATATAAAGAATAATAATAATTAATTTAGAAAGTTCTATACCTGATGTAGCTATTGAACATCGAAGATATCTTTATTCTCAAAATGAATCATCTAGTATAACATGTAGAAGTAAATCTGATATTTATTCAATTCAACCGATTAATATTGATCAAGGATGTATGACATATTTAATTAAGAATCAGATGATTATTGTAGAAATAATATTTTTTGTTTTTATTTTAAGGGAAACATTGGACAGAAAATCGTTTAAAATATTTTACATTTCCTCGAAATTTAACTCGAAGTCAATCATTAGATTTTTGTTTGAATAATAATGGAACATTAATGTATTGGGCTAATTCAACTGAACAAGAAATACTTCAAAGTAATATAATTAATTATCGATTTATTTGTTTGTTTGTTTTGTTTTTGTTTTGAATAGAAATTCTTTTGACAACAATTCATCAATTATTTCATTTTCAAAGAAGTTCATCTAATAATAATACATTAACTTTTTTTATTGGTTTAAAACAAATTAATCGAAATAAACAATGGGAATCAAATGTAAGATTTTATTAAATATATTTTACTTTTGTAAAACAAACGAAGTTAATTGATACAATCATTTTTTGGAATAAAAAAGTCTACATTTATTGAAATTGTTATTAAAAAAAGTTTCAGCTCGATCTAAGAATAATTAGATAGTGATGGATCTTTTGATCCGCACAATATATTTTAACGATAAAATAATTGATTTAATATAGATTATATACTAAACAAGAAATATCCGAAGTCCTTATTTATCTAATATAAGGACTTCGGTAACGTAAGACTTTTTAAAAAGAGATAAAATAAGTATTAAAATTTATCGTTTGAATGATGACCAAAAGATACTGGTTGAATGTCTTTTTAGAGTTTCATTGAAAAGCAAAAATATTTTGAGGTTGAAAAAGAAACAAAATGCCCTTAATGAACTTGATTTGTTTTTCTTTTCTTATAAAACTTGACATAGGTTATATCATATAATGAATCATTGGAAATAAATTCTAATTCAATAATAAATAATGAAGATTATTGTACAATAATTCAATCAAATGGTTCTAATGTTCAATCAATAAGAATATATGATCATAAATGTGATGATATAACTATTCATGGATATCCACTTTGTCGTCTTTTACGTATGTTTAATTAATTATTTATTAAATATTTATTTATTTATTATTTTTATTTTAATTAGCATCTGTTATAAATGATGAAAATGATTTTATTTATCGTATTGAAACAGATAATGAACCAAAAAATTTAATTGGTGTTATTGATTATTGTTCGGAATTAGGTGGATATCCAATTTATGCAAATAATGCTTATGAATGGCAATTAATTCAAGGTATTTATATACTATATATATATCAATTTATTTTAGTTCATACCAAAATCTTCTAACAATTAAACTTAATTATTATGTCCATTAGATCATTTTCCGAAAAGATTTTCAAATTTATAGTTCAAACGTTGCACAAATAAATTTCTTTATAGAAGTAATTCATTGTTGACGAAATTGCATTGAAAAATTCATTTAAAGGATCATAACTCATTAAGCAAGTCTTATTAATGTCTGTAAAACAACAAAATATTACATATGAATAATATACAGTCTATCGTGGTCTCAATTCAACTATCATCACGTCTAAATTTAAATTGAGTCAAAATTATTCTTTTTCTAATTTTTGTTCGTCTCAAAAAGAAAAAAAAAGGATTTTTCTTATATCATTTTGAAAAAACTTGTAACTATTAAATATATGTTCAATAATGTTCTATTATATTTGTTTTATTATTGTTTCATATTAATTATTTATATTGAAAGATACATAGTTTTATTTTCAATTCTATATTTATAGAAATAATGTTACAAGATTCAAGTTTTAATAGTGATTATGTTTATACGGGTTTAGTATCTGAAACAAAACAAGTTGAAAATTCATTTTGGTCACCAAGAAATATTTCTGTATGTATTTATATATATGTTAATTAATCTATTTAAAACAAGTGAATTGTATTTAGTATAATAGTTCATTAGATTATATATGGTTTGGTGTCAATCGAGGTAAAGATCGAACAGGATATCATTTATCAAAAGCAAATGATGAATCCTATTATCGTTTATATGATATAAATCCATATTCAAATTTAAATACTCTTCGATTTTGTCGTAAAGATGATATTCGATCATTAATAAAACAATCTTCATCATGTTATTATAAATCTTGTTTATCAAAATGTTTAAATATTACTTTGCCAAATCAAAGTGATGATATAAGATTTGGTTTTTATGCTTGTATGCCAAAAGATAGTTTTATTGGAATTGTTTATACACAATCATTTCCTGAATATGGCGATTTTATTCGTCCTAATCTTCCAATGGATTATAGTGTTGCACTCCGAAGAAAATATAATGAATCATTAATATTAAGTTTTGAACAGACAGATAAAAATGTTCGTTATTCATGTTATGAATATATAAATTTTGATAAAATTTCAACATTAAATGATACAATAAAATTATCATGTGATTCATCAAATACAAATAATAAAACAATGAATGGAATTAGTTTTAAAAAAGATTTTAATGGTCTTATATCATTTTCTTTAGAAGATAAACGAATATCTGGACATCATACTAGATTTATTGATTATCAACTTTGTAAATTTATTTTCATAAAAAAAACAACAAAAAGTAACAATTATTTTATTTTATTTTACTTGTTAGATGATAGTCGATGTAATAATCAAGGAATATATCATCCATATATAAATCAATGTATTTGTGCACCAGGCTTTTATGGAGATCAATGTCAATATAGTAAATAAATAATAATAATAATAATAAATATTATTATTGGTTTTTGTTTTTATTTGTAAAGGTTGTCCACCAGGTTATTACGGACAAACTTGTGATTATTATTGTCAAGGTGATGATGATTATTGTAAAGGTTTATTAATATGTTTACCTGATCCATATGGATGTTCTTGTTATACTGGTTGGTATGGAACGAATTGTAACATAAGTAATAATAAAAGACTAATTTTTATTTATTTATTTATTTATTATCATTGTTTTAATATTTAAAAAGGTTGTCCATATAATCTATATGGACCTGACTGTTCTTATCAATGTTCATGTTCAAATTGTAATAGATTTACAGGTGTTTGTGATTGTAATGGAACAGAATGTTATAAGGGTAATTTCAAGTTTTTTTTTTTACTTAATTTTAATCGCATATAATGAAAAGTCATGTATAGTTAGGTAGAAAACATCTATCGATATATATTCAGTTAAACCAAAGATTTTTTTTCTAATCCTTTTTCTTAATCTTGTAAAAGTGCAATGAGCAAGTAGTTCATATATAGTTATTGATCATAGATGAACAAGGTTTGTCACCATCTATGATGTGAAGAGAGAAGTGATACTAAGGTGTCAACTATGTCTATGAAGAACCGTTTCTAACGTGTCTATCATAGTCTGTAAGAGAGAAAGTTGCAAATTCTTTTCGTATATTCTTCAACACTAATTTTAAATCGTATTTGACAATATAATGTTATATTGTTTGATAGCATTAATTTTTAATTAATTCAATTAAATATATTGTCGTGCTTTTCCATAGATACAGAATTTCGATCTCTATTAATTATAATAGTAATATTGTTATATTTATCATTATTTTAAGTATATTTTATTCCAATTAAAATCTTAAGATTTTTATGTCATTTCCTCAATATAAGTAATAGAATTTGTCACGTTATAATAGATTCTTGTAAACAAATTATATATTTTTTTTTAAATAAACTAAAAATGTCTTATTATGATGAACAATAATTTGAATATTAAAATAAATTGATTTCGTTAAGATTTTTTTATTTAATTTCTAATGGAAATAAATCATTTAGTAATATTTGTTTGTTTGACTAAATAGATTAAAAAATAATATATATAAATATGAAATGAGATCTATCTTTTTTTTTCATGTTAATTAAATAAAAAAGAAAAAAAAAACTAAAGAAAAACTTTTCTATATTCTAAAATAAATACTAAAATTTGAAAAGAAAAAAAAACATTATTTTGATAAAAAAACATTTAGGCATCTATAGTCGTATGGAATTAGAATCAAAATGTTCATCATCATCATCATCATCATCATCTAAATTAATATTATTAATTGTTATTCCAATAATTAGTGTAGTTATATTAATATCAATAATTTCAATAATATTATATTGGAAAATGATATATTTAAAACGTGGAGAAAATCAAATAAATTATTCTTATCCATCTAATAATATAAATGATGAAAATTTGTAAGATTTTGTTCAATATGATTAAAATGTTTAAAATGACATGGTGGAGATATATCACTTTTTTTAATAAAACGTTTTAATATTTTATGTTTTGTTAAATAATCTGTATAAAATTGATTTTGTTTTAAATATGAATAAAATCTAGTAAAAAGTTTTTCATCATTTAATTCAAAACGTAACATAATTGATGAATTATTTAATGAATGACGAAATGAAAGTGTTAAATTAGTTGGTTGTATTATATTTGATATTGATGTTATACGATCAGACCAAAGTATAAAACCAGTTTTTTCATCAACAATCATTAAACGAAGTTCGGATGAACGTCGAGGATTTAAACCTGTATTATATAACCATATTGGATAACCCCGATGTATTAATTTCCATTGTTCTAATGAACAAACTTGAATATCAGTTAATATAAATAAACGTATTAAACAAGGTGATACATATATTAATGAACCCATTGATGAATAAAGTGATTCAAGACGTTGAATAAGTTGATTTTCATTTATTGGTAATAAATTATTTTCATTTGATTTTCCATCAATTAATTCTGAAAAACGTCTTTGAAGTTTTTCTAATTCTGAACAATTCCATTGATTTATATCTTTATCAATTGTTAATAAAGGTTTTACTATTCCAATTTGTTTTTTTTCACGTCTTTCAATTGAATTATATTCCATTGTTGGTATTAATGATAATAAATCATTTTTACTTTTATGCATATCAATATCGAATAATACATTGGATTCATCAGGTAAATATACATCTAAACATTTTATTTTTATTCAAAACAAAAAAATAATAATCAATCAATCAGTCACTCATTTATGTCCTATGTACGGTAAAATATTTATCAAAGGTAACAATATTCAATCAGTTAAAATGATTAAAATATTCTGATATGAAACGAGAGAATTAATATTGACATAAGACTCTTATAAAATCTATTGACATTCTCTCAACATGCTATTATTTTCTTGATTTATTAAACTTACTTATTTGTTGTTTTTGTTTTAAACGAGGTGGTTCTTTTAATTGTTCTCGTCTTTTCAATGGTTCACTTTTCATATGTGGATTCAAACGATTGTTCAATGTCCAAATGATTTGTTTTCCATCAATCGATGTTGAATTATGGTTCGATGAAAAGTTACTTAATTCTTCCATTAAAACAATCTTACATTATAAAATAAGAAGAAGAAAAAAAAAAAAAAAAAGAAATGACGTAATAGAAATGTTTGCATGTTTTAAAAAATGATGAAAAAAAAGAAAGAAAATGAAGGACAGTGTCATTATTTGGGCACTCATGAAATAATTGCACGTTTTAACGGTACATAAAAGCTGCATTTTATCGTCCTTGTTCAATCACATTGTGTATATATGAGGTGCAAGATGCAAAAAAGAGAGAGAGAGAGAGAGACAAAGAAAGAGAATAAATGCAACGAAAATGGCTCCTTATTTTTCTTGTTCATGTTAGTTGTTAATCCTCTTATAAGCAAACAAGATCGAACGATTAGAGAACAAAGTGCATCATTATATAATCGTTTCTGTCAATTGAATCTCGTTGTCATTTTACTTTCAACTTGCCGCATGTCAATCGTATTTAAGTATCTTCATATTATTAAATATCGTTTTTTTTTTCCTTCTATCTTATTTACATAAATCAAATTTATTCAAGATTTTATTGAAAAAAAAAAGAAAGTATTGACTAAATGATATTAATATTGATAATATGTAACAAATCGAGTAAATAGATATAAATATTTGTATAACTTTCCTAAAAGACTATATCTGTTAAGTGTTTCTGATTAGTTAAGCAAACAATTGAAAATAATTGGTGATGAGAATGGAAAAGGCTTATTTGTTTAGTTAGTGATGATGTTAAAATGTATCGAAGAGAAAAAAGAACATATGCTGATGATTATAATCTGCGTGACAGAACAACGGTGATTATTTCTTATGGTTGGATATGTTATCTAATGTCAGTCTAGATTAAAAGGTCGTTTATCGAAAAGTATAAACAGAATATAGGAATATATATATTTAATCATTATTGACCGATAAATGACACAATAGATTTACTTACATTCTTATTCAAGGTTTTATAAAGATGTGTCAGTTAGCATTTTTATTTTTTTCTTTTCATTATATCATAAAATATATTCTATTTTGTTTTAATTTGATTCATTATAGAGAAAGAAGAGAAAGTTCTTCTTTATGACTAAATCATAACGAGAATATTATTTGTAGAACATCGAAAGAATATAAGTTGATGAAAGATTTCTTTTTTTTTTTTTTTTATTCTCTTAGGATAAGATAGATTCTATTCTATTGTAAAGAATTTTTTTTTTTTTTCTTCTTCGATAAATGGTCGATCTCATAGGAAAAAAAGAAGAATAGAAACAAGAAACATTTTGTAAATTAAATCTTAATCAATTAGATTATCAATCGATTCAATAAGAGAAAGATGATTGAGATCTTATCGTCATCAGTTTTACAATATGATTTATCTCGGAGAGAGAGAGGGAGAGAGAATAACCTTGTTCTGTCTGTTAAACAAGAGTGATATTCTTTGCACTACATTACTAAGCAAGAAAATATGAAAAATATGATTTGAATTTGAAGCATATATTTTTTTTTTATTAAACAAATAACAAATACAGAAATTTTCTTTTTTCATGAACATATTATTATAAAAATCCATATTGAGATTGATCAGGACGAATATCATGTGAAATTCATCCTAAAAAAGAAACAACTAATATGTATTCTTTGGTTAATATTGAAGAATACTTCAGAGATCAAATATGTAATTATATTAGCATGTAGATTTTTTTGTTTATTTTTGAATAGTTTATTAATCTCAATAATTGAATATGTTATTGATTCTATATTTATTTGTATAATAATATGATTTTATTCTAAAAATAGTTTTGAATATAAATATATGTAGATTGATCTTTTATTTAATAAATATGTCATCAATTTTTGTTTAGGAATATTTATCAAACAGAAAACAACATTCAAAACAATCTTCTATAGTGTCAAGAAGATTTTCAATCAAAATTTTTCTTAAAAAAATAAATTTTTAAAATAAAAATAATAGAAATTTATCTTCGAATAAAAAAAAAAGAAAAATTGTTCGTACAAATCCTACAGGAATCTAATAGGAAATATGATAAAGCTTAATGACATAGTAAGAAAAATAATTTTCTAAGATAGGTTTCGATCTGTAAATCGTATATAGTATGAATGCATGTCAATGATGACAGATGATAATTGTAATCTATTGCAGTCAATGTCAAACAAGAAAAAAAGACAGATATGTTTAATTCGACTGTATTATATATTAATCCCATAGTAGATTTCACTCTCATGAGAATGCTTCTTCTCTTTTATTAGAAGAGACGGGTTATATTAAAGTATCTATCACTATCTACAACAGAAAAACGACATTGATAATTTGTTTATGATGATCTTTGAAGAAAGATGGCCATCGATAACATGCTGTTTAGATTATTCTTTAGAAACTTAGTAAAATAATCTTTATTAACGTGTAATAGATTGACACTTGATAATTGACGAAATATATATTTATATCGATATTATCATTGAAGTATGTTGTTCTTTGATATAATATAACAGTAGGCTTTTTTTCTCAAATAAATAATTAACAAATCAACATTATTTACAATAAGAATCATATCTAAGATAAGTTTCAATAATAATGATTACATTGATATTAACTAACTTATACAAAGTCAACTTGAAATATATAAATAGTATCTTTTATTTTCTAGGTTTTTGTAAAGACTTTTATTTTTATTTATGATTATTAGAAGACATTTCTTTGAAATAAATCTATGATAGGATTTAATAGTTACAAGATTTTCTATAATTTATCTATAAAAATTGTGATAAATGTTCTAATAAATAATTCTAGTCGATCATATTCTATTAACTATTATATAAAAAAGTTTCGAAAAATATAATTATTTTTCTTGAAATATATTAGTTCATTTAACAGATCATATAACAAGTTAAACATATATTTTTGATCTCAAGTGAAACATATTGATTTATAAATATTATCATAAAGTTTTATCAAAAGAATATGTTTTATTTAATTTGTTGATACATTTATTAACAATAAATAAATATTCATAGTATTATGTATTGAAGTTATTCATAATGTATAATAGTAAAATAAATGAAAAGTTCAATGAATAGTATGATAATAAGTAATAATCTCAATGTATAGAATGATCAATTGAGATCATAGGGTTGATTGGCATATAAATTGTGATATTGATGATTGTTGATGTGTTATAAATGTTAAATTGAATATTGAAAAAAAGAAAATCGTATATATTTTATTTAATCTATTCAATCAATTATCTTTTCAATTTATTTACATTAAAATATTCATTGAATATTTTTTCTTAGTATATTGATTATCGATTTGATTAATTGGTTTTTTAATTTTTCGTCTATCTTCGTTGATGTTTCGTACAAATTTAAATAGTTAATTAACTATTTTCATAAAGAACTTTTCAAATATTATATCAAATAAATGAAATGCAGAATATTGAAACAAAAAATTTTGTTTTTTTTTTTCGTTTTTTATAAAATCGAATTGGTCAAAAGATATATTCTCATACTTACTTTATCGTTCGATTTACAAATATTCTTACTGATCTTATTGAAAAATCTATTTATATTAAAGACTGAAAAAAATAGCATTCTTTGACAATAGTGCTTTCTATCATTTTACATGTTGAGTATTTATTGTTGATTAACAATATATATATATTGGTATGAAAGCAAGACAACAATCGAAAAGTATCAATTATAATTATCTTATTGATTATTCTACATAGTAAGAGATACGATTTAATGGTTGTCAATCTTAGATGAAAAGTCATATCGACGTATGAAGAAATCTATTGGAATTAATATTTAATGAAAATATTGTCAATATGAAAAAATAATCATAAGAGTTCTGTAGTACCTATATTTGTAAGTAAGACGTTCCTGATACAATAAATTCTATGATAATGTCAATCAACTGACTTTATTTATATGGACCAAATCAAAATAAATATTCTGTATTTATTGTCATTTTTCCTATAATTTGCGTTAAAATAGAGATTCAATAACGATATGAAATAGATTTGTCAAAAAGAATAATCATTTCACAGTATAATGATTGTATATTTAATTTTTTTCATTCATACAGAATTGTATTTGTTCAGGACAAAATATATTGATTAAAGTTGATTTGAATCAATCGTATTTTGTTAAGAGAAAGAGAAAATTATTGTAAAAATTTAAGTTTAGACAAGAATGATAAATAATATTTAAAATTCTTTTAATTGTTTCGTAGAAAAATAATGAAACATTTTTAATTTGTTGAATTCCTATGTGATATTTTCTTAATTAATTTAAATTAATACTCAGATATTCGATTGAATGAAAAAATCCATGTCAACCAAATATTAATATAACTGATCAATATTCATTTTATAGACACGTTATACATTAAGAATATTTAAGAATTTAAATAAATAAATAGTTGACTATTATTTCATATTGATTGTTATTGAATTTGAATGTACAAGTCATTCGATTTATTTATTTTGAAATAATGTTCGATAGAATTTTTTTTTCGTCAGTTCCACATATTGTAGATATTGTTAGAATATTATTAGTTTGAATAAATAAACGTCTATTAGTCAAACATATTATAAAATTGAAGGTTATGTTATATATATTTTGACAGAATAATATTCATAATTAGTGAAATATGTTTCTATATATGAAATAGTACCATTACACATGTCTATAAAAAGGTTGAAAAATAGCCTCAATCACCTTCATTAAATAATGAAAATCTAAAATTTTATCGTCCATATCATGTAACAACACGTTATAATTAGTTGACGTTTATATATATATAACATATGTAGAGTAAGAACATTTTTCTGCTATTTAGATAATTGTTCTAAGATATTGTATTAGTTTTAGTACAACTGTTTGTATTATTCTTAACATAAATCATGATTAGGAACGTAAAGAAAAAGGTTTAGGAAATTGTTGATATTCATCTGTCATTGTAAAATAAATGATCTTCCTACTCAAGACGTATAAGATCGATTAACACATTAGGATTTAGAATATATCTGAGAGAATCATCCAAGTATACTTTAAAACGTAATTGAAAATAATTTTCAATCTTTTCTAGAGATATGTCTAATGAGACTTTTTTCATATATACAAATATATTTCATATTCAAATTTCACAAATTATGAATATTATTCTGGTAAAATAAATATAAAAAACAATAATATTAAAACAACTTGAAATATAACTGACAGAGATAAACATTAAAGAGAATAGTTTACTGTGAAAGTTAAAGATATTTTGTGTTATTGTTCTTCTAAAAAACATTTATGAGAAAAACATATGTTTTATAATACTTATATTAACCGACGTATAACTTGAAAGTTTTACTGTAAACTATTTTCATTAATATCTGTCTCTTTGCAAAGTTTCAAGTTGAGATTCGAAAATCAGTTTTTCTTGTGCTTTTCAAGAAGAAAAGAGAGATATGACATGGACTCTGAAAAAGAATTCGTAAGAATTTAATGTCTCTGTATCAATAAACTAAGCTCTTAAACTTTTTTCAAGATATTGATAGTTCATTAGAGGTTAGATAATCTATATGGTTTCGAATCAAAAGTGATTAATCAGTTTTAGAACTTCTCTAGTTAGAATAGAGAGAAAAGGTAGGTATATTGATTTTAAGGAATTCGATTACTTATAAATGGTGAAATAAAATCCATAGATATTCACTTATATATCGATCACTATGAATATTTGTATTTCGTATAAGATTTCATCGATCACAGTTGGCTTCTGTAGACTTGAATAAAAAATTGTAAATAAATATATTTTCCCTTTCTCTTTATCTTTTTCGTTAGAATAAAATATATTTTATTGATTCAATTCATTTATATCTCATTGTGTTTAGAATATACAAATTCATTCTTTTATTAACAAAAAAGGTAAACAATATTTATTTTTCTATTTAAAAAAGAAAAAAAATCATATCTAGATAGATTTGTTTAATTATCATCAAGAGACAAGTTAAACAATGTTACTATTACGTGTATTTATTTATTTTCTGATATTATTATTGTTAATAATTAATTGTTGTGAAGCCCAAAATGAAATACGTAATGCTGTAAAAGCTAAAAAAAATCGAAAAATCAATGAAGGAAAAAAAAAAATTGAACGAGGTAAACAAACTGTTCAATATATTAAAAATCAAGTAACAGCACCATATCATCATGCAACTGAAAAAGTTAAACGAAAATATCAAAATACAAAACGAAAAATACAAGCTATTGAAAAAATTATTAATTCATAATTATTTACTTATTTATTTGAAATTGTTTTTTATTTTCATCAAATAATATTTATTGATGAAAAACTATAACAAACAAAACGAGAAAATCTTTTTAATAGATATTTAAATATTTTATAAATAAATACTATCAATGAATAACCTCTTTGATAAATTATTTTTTTATTTGTTATTATTTAATGTAGTTGACCACCCTGATTGTCATTATATTCAATGATTTAATTTAACATATACAATATATATTTTAGTGTTTTTTTAAAGGAAAAACTAATATTGAACAGAATCAATTGAATTTATTCAATTTAATTCTTAGTCGAAAATCTATTTTTATTTCGATTAAAAAAAAGTACACTTTAGATATAATGAATTTATATAATAAATCTCAGATTGAATTAAATAAGAATTACAAAAAAAACCAAACCATTCTTTTAACGTTTATTCATTTCTTATATAACCAATAAATAGTTAACTATAATTACTATTGAAAAAGTATCTATTCATCTATGTATAATTGTCGTTGAGATGAAGGACTTTTTATAGTTTCTAATGTAGTTGTAATTGTGTCAACACTCATATTAGTTTGATAAAGATAGACTTTCTCTCTCTCTGTAATATATTCAACAATATATTTACTAATCAATAAAACAAAATAAACATAAACAATAGATGAGTAAAATGATGTAAATATTTCATCTTTATATTAGTGTTGATTTTTTAATAGAATATCAACAAGAACGTTGAGAATGATCTTAACATGTGAAGTACTCATCAAATATTTATTTGTTTAGTGCTCATTCGAAAGAGCATCATATGTTAAACTATCAAAAACGAGTTTTTAGCTCTTTTTTTTTGTATGTTGATTTTTTCAGCATTACATACCAGAGATGAGCAAAGTCGCACCGCGCCTCCCCGCGCCGTTGCTCACGCCTACGCTACACTAGTCTGAGCTTTGATGAGCGCATGCTTAGAGCATCCCGGTATTCGGTGGAGTTTGAGAAACTGATTGGTAGAGCAAAGAGAAAGAGAGATGTGCGTAGCGCCTAGGCGCGAGCAGTGGCGCGGGGAAGCGCGGTGCGATTTTGCTCATCTCTGTGACATATAGTAACTTTTGTTTTTAAAGCTTTGAAACGAAAGAAAGAATTTAGTCTTTATAATTTAATATAATGTACATTTAAAAAAAGAATGAATGTTTTGTTTCATTGTTTTCTTCATGAGTAATTTTGTTAAGCTATTGCTAATGAATAAGTCATTTAAAATTGATTTTCTAGTTAATGTCAGTTTAATAAAATGATTATTGCATGATTAAGTTTCTGTTTATTCAAAATAGAATAATAACAGATACATATTTAAAAAAATAAACAAAAGATAATTTTTCATAGTTATTTTAATGGCATGTTTAAAAAAAATAAACGAAATATTTGTTTTTTTGTTTTTTTAATTCGAAAAAATAAAAATCTGATTTGTATTAATTTATTTATTTGAATAAGAATCCAAAGTTTGTCTTAATATATCTGGACGATCAGTAAATATAATATCAATACCAAGTTGAATCATTTCTTTTTGAACATTTTGATCATCAAGAAGTGAACCAACAATAGCTAAAGGTTTTCCTGCTTTATGTATTGTATCAATTAAATCTTTATTTAATATTGATCGTGTATGTGGTTCAATAAATAAACCAAGTATATCATGTTCATAGGAATAATTTTCATTAATTCGACCTTGTTTATAATCTTGAGAAAATTTCATCATTGTTTCAATATCAGCACATATTGGAATTGAAGGAAATTTTTCTTTTTGTAATTCTTTATTTATTATTCGATCAACAGCTCCAAATATAACATCATTTTCAATATTATATTTTTTGATTATATCAAGTGTTAATCGAATAGCTTTTATATCTTTCATATCAAAAAAATAAACTAAAGACGATTTTGATCGAAATTCAGCTAAAATATAAAAAAAAAACATTTTTGTTTTTTTAATAAAATAAAATAAAAACAAACTTAAAAGTTGATCAAGTGTAATTAATTGTGGATCTAATATTTTTAATTGTTCAAATGTAGATTGATCAATATTTATTCCATTAATAATACCATCATGATTAAGAACAATATGTTCATCAATTGTTTTCCATATATCGATTTCAAGAATATCTGTTCGAGCTTCATTAACAGCACGACGATAAGTTTCAAGTGTATTTTCTTTTCCCCAATGTCGTCCACCTCGATGTGATCCATGAATTGGTAATGATGAACATACAAATTTACTAAATACTGGAAAACGATTTGATAATTCTAATCTTGATAACATTTTATTTCATCATTTATTTATTTATTATTGTCATCTTCAACACAGATTAAAGATCAATGAAAAGAGAAATATATTCAGTGAGGTGTCGCCTCATATAGATGACACTACACTATTCACTATATAATATATAAAATGAATGTAAGCTATAAGTTAAACATTATTGATGATTGTATGATGAATTTACGATAACTTGCAATTCTAACTGATCTTTATTATTAAGATATTTTGAAGAAAACATAAATGGTATTAGTCTTGCTTAATGATGATTCAAAAAAAGTTTCAGTTCTTATATCTGACTTACTAAAAACCTTGACAATATATCAATTTCTACAATTGTATATAAACCTAAAGGATTTTACTAATATACTATCATGCATTTAGAATGTAATATCTTTCTTTGTAAACTTTTCAGTAGACAAACATAAACAAAAAATCAGATCTAATCTAAAAAGCAAAATATAGTCTTATTCCATAGACATGAAATGTCTAATCATGTACTTATCTGATTAATAAAACTTCTGATAATAGTTATTCTGTTCCTAAAAGTCATAGCGCTTCGACATATTGTACATATGGTCTCTCTTATAGTTTTTATATTATTATCAATATAGTTCGATATTGTCTGTCAATCGAATTGTGTAGATATATATATATTATTTCTGGTTGTTATATTCATTAAGACATAACACGAAAAATAGACCATAGGAATGTCTTTTCTAGATGATATAAACCAAACTTGATTAATCATTCTTTTAATTGATTATAACAAATAAATTATTTTTTAAGATTATAAGTATCATTGATGTTTTTGTCTATGTTTTGTTTATAATTATAGAAAATTTTATTAAAATAAATAGTAAATTGAAATAAATTATTGATTTGTAAAGGTGAATAAATATTTTTCAAATATTGAAATATAAATTTCAACATAAGATATCTATAAATTCCATAAGTGTCTAAAAGAAAGAAAAACTATATTTCCTTCTAATCGATATAATATATCTGGCTTATATCATATTGATTTGGCTTTTGGAAGTCAATATCATCTGCTAAATTATTTGTTTTCTTAACGATGAAGAATCCTATCATATATACAGACCTTTCGACGATCATACGTTTCTTTACTCAATTCTAAACTATAAATTCAAGCAGAATATATATATATGTCACTTTTTAGTCTTTAATCACGTGATGAAATGCATGTCCAAGGTCATAGTTTGATTTTGGGGATATATTAGAGTAGTAGAACGAACGAAATTTGTATTTAATATTTATAGTAGATTGAAAAGAAAAATAATAAATAACATAAAATCTTAAACAATTTGTTTTTTGTTCGAATAAAAAAATTTAATCTAAATGCTTCTGATTGTGAACTCTATGATTGATAAGAATAAGTTAGATTTAAAAACAAAAATACTTGATTTTCTCTTCTAATTAACTTCAAATTAAAAAAAAAACACAACTAAATAGAATAATTTATATTTAATAAATTACAAAAAAGAAAAAAAAAACTGTTCATTTATATAATTTAATTTCAAAATCTATTTTTGTCGACATATAAGACAAAAAAAAAAAAAAAAAAGGAACGATGACGTCAATGTCACGTATAATTTATTCTCTTAATTGTTTGATGCGTGACAAATAATAAATAAGGGATAAATGCTTGATATTGTTCGAATGATCGATGTTAGGATTTAAACAAATATTCATATGACGATAATGACACGGTCACCGGATAGAAAAAAGAAAAAAAAACGAACTCGAGAAAGCAAAAAAGACGAAAGAAAAAAAATAAAGTAAAATAAAATAAAATAAAACAACACACATCACAAATTGGGCAAGTCATGTATATCAAAAGAACAATCTCCAAATGTCGTTCGTTCAAAATCAAGTATTGCTTCAACATCTAAATCAAATGTTGAACTTGGAATTGGTTCTTGTGTATTATTAGGTATTTGTAAATCCATAGATGATGGTGGAATTTGATTAAATAATAAATTAGTTGATGGTGATGGTGATGGGGATGGAATTGATGGAGGTGTTGAAAGAATTTTTCGTCTTTCATTATTTGTTTTTGATTTATTCATTTGATGACGCATTATAGCAACGACCATTCGACGAAATAATGGACTTGAACGATCCATTGTTTTTAATTGTTTACTTAATTTCGATGATATCATTTGATCGATTTCATAATCACTATGAGAAGGTGATGGAGATTGTGAACTAGCTGAAGGAGATTTTGATAATGATGAATATGTACTATCAATACCTAGAACAAAATAAATTTAACTAAACAAAAAAAACAACAACACAAAGAAGACGAAAAGAAAAGCTTATTTTTTTCCCGTTGTTATTTGTTTTTTAAATAACTAAACCTGAATTAAAATTATTGTCATTATTATTTGATGTCGAAGGTGGTGATGATTTTAACATATCATGTAATATATTTGGCATTTGTTGTGTTGATGTATATGATTGATCTTGAGAATTATTTTGTAAAAGATTATATAAATTTTTATTCATATCTCTAACAGATGTAAATGATCTTTGATTTGATGTTGATGATGATGATGATGGATAAATATCATTTGATGATGATGGAATTTGTTCATTTGAAAATAAATAATCAAATGATGTTGGATTTGAATTATCATTTGATACTGTTTTAGTTAAACGACGTCTTTCACTTTTTGTTGAATTTTCATTTGATTGAACTCGTCTTCGACCACGAACTTGTTTTGCTCGAGGATCAATTGTCCACCAACTTGATTTACCTGCTATTTCATTTGGAATACGAACAAATCGATTATGCAATGATAAATTATGACGTATAGAATTCTAAATATAGAATTATTTTTTTTATTTTTCTTATTATTTAAAAAACTAAGATACCTTCCATCCTGTACTACTTTTTCTATCTCCTTTATCACGAAAATAAGGTACATATTGAATCATCCATGAATATATTTGAGAAAGTGTTAAACGTTTATTTTGACTATTTTCAATGGCTTTAGCAATTAATTCAGCATATGATAAATTTCCCCATGCATTTTTTCTTGATGTTTGTGGATCATTAAGACCAAGTTCTTTTTCAATTAATAATGCTAATCTTGGATCATATTCAACTGTAGTTCGACAATTACTTGTTGATGTTGCTTCAGATTGATCATCTGAAGGAAAATCTTCATCTTTTTGAACTTGTTCACAAAAATCATCAATAAATGATGAATGATAATTTGAAGTTGTACTTGTTAATGATGATGAATATAAATGTTTAGCATTTGAATTTTCATCAAAATCATCAAGAATAGATGAAGGACTTGATAACATCGATTTAACCTATTTAAATATTAACATTTTTTTATTTTTATTTTTAAAAATTTAAATTAAAAAAAAAAATTCTATAACCTATTTAATATGTTCATCAAGATAGTTTTTGTCTATCATAATAATTTGATCTTTTGATCAGATTTGTCACCATTTTTGATAAGAAATAATAAAACAGCTGGTGCATAGGATTAGAACTTATTTCCTCTTTTTTTTCTTTTTTCTTCTTCTTCTTCTTCTTTCTTAATCAAAATGTAATGTATGATGTACAATAGATGATTTTTTTTTTTTTTTTCTCATCAAAGACAAAAAAAAAAAAAAAAAAAAAAGTATTTGACATTGACATTATTTTTATTCAGTTTATATTCTGTATAGATTTTTATGATAAGACGATAAATAGCTTTTGTTTTTTATTTTTATCCTAAGAATAATGAACGAAACAAAAAAAAAAAGAAAAATAAGTATGATGTATGTTTTTTATGATGATAAAAAAAGAAAAGATTACTCTAAAGTTAGTGAATAAGGAACGACCTTCACTAGGACATATATATATATATACATAAATGAATCTTATAGAATTTCATTGACGTTTTTTATTTTTTTTGTTTTTTTTCATTATTCTCTAATAATATTTAATCAGAATAATTTATATATTATTTTTGAAACAAAAATCCTCTTATATGTAGATAATTATCTTCGTCCAGTTGAAGGTTTTTTATTGATGAAATAATAACGTCCTTGAAGAGCTGGTGTACTCTTGCTTTTAACAAACGGCCTTGTTCGTTCTTCGTTTTTTCTCATCGGCGCGTCATGCGCAAACAATTCTTGAGCTCAAGGCCAAACGACGCGCCAGAGAATAACATCGATTCATGTTCAAGGTTGAAGATAAGAAAATCATACAAAATCTCATTTATTCAAAATCTTCTTCGGTTTTTTTTCTTTTTCGTTTATTAATATTAGAAAAAATAGAAAAATCTTCACTTACTTAATCGACAATGATGACCAAAAACAATTTGTTTTCTTTTTTTTTGTTTTGACTTAATTACACAAATTAAAAAAAAAAAAAATTTGGACGAAAAATGTTGAATATCGATAAAATGATATGAAATAAATTGTAATTACATTTATTAATCTAGAAAACAAGGTATTCAATAGTTGATTCTAAGAATATTTTTTGGATACAAAAATTTGCTTGACCTTGTCATTCAAGGCCAGCAAAGCTCGACAACAACTACATAGGACGTATGAGCGTCGTCACTGCTAGCGGCTCGCAGACGCCGACAGTCCTTGAACAAGAACGACAGCGGTGTTGGTGGTGGCAGTCAACGACGGAGAGGGAGAGGGAGAGGGAGAGGGAGAGAGAGACCGTCTTTTGGAGAGACAGCTTATTTTGCTTTTCTTCTCTCGTTTTTTTCTCTTTTTCTATCAGCAGTGATGAAGGGAAAAGAGAAAAAAAGAAGCAAGACAAGACTATATCGTTGCCTGACGCTCTATTTTTTTCTCTCTCTCTCCCTCGCTCTCCCTCGCTCTCTCTCTCGTTCGGTATTGTCGTGTCGAGCTTGTTAGTGATGGTGACCAATATAGTGAGAGTAAAGAAGAATGGGTAAAAAAACCTTTTTCTGTCTGTTATAGTACACGGGTGTGTAGCGAGAAACGACCTTGGAATGCATAACGAGTGGTTGCCGAAGGTCTCTTTGTTTGACGCATAGAATCGTTGTTGACGTCGTTGATGAGGATGATACTCGATTACTCTCTACTCTCTTTCTTCATTCACATCGTCTTTTTTTTTTTCTTCTTTTCTTTTTTTTTTTTTTTTTATTCTACCGATGTTTCTTCAATGGATGAGAAAGAAGAATGAAAAGAGAACGATCATCTGACACACTTGCCGTGTGCATTGAAAACCTTCTTCATTGTCATCAGATCATCATTTATTACTCTACTATATATTATTCAATACGAGAATGAGTACTATTATTTGTTCTTTATTTCAATCGAAATGATTGACAATGTCAAAGAAAAAAAAGATATATCATTTTGAATTATTCATTAACTTAATATAAATAATCATATATAAAACCTTTTCCTCGAATTTTCAAGTCTAAATTAAAATAAAATATATTACTGAACATATAAAATATTGATTAATTATTAATACATTGAGTTCATTTAAACTATCATTTCATAGATAGAAAAAAAAATACTCATATAGGTCTTACTAACCTAATTTTTCTATATTGTCGGTTATGAGTATTCGAAACAAATTGAATCATTAATAAAACATTATAATCAGAAATATATTTTCTCTTATTTCACTCTTATTCTATGTATAGTACCACCAATTCATATTGTTTTTTTCTAATAAAAAATTAGAGAATCAACAGATAATTTCAATAGATATTTATTTAGTTCTATACAAATAGTTTATTTTTGTTCAATCATTATTTTAATACTTATTACTACACAGGTATTTCAAGATGTTATTCAACTTTTTCTTGATCAATTGAAACAAAACAAAACAAAAAAGAAAATACTTTGATAGATAAATAATTATTACAGTTTTATTTATTCATTTTTCTCGATAATATACATTTCATTTTTATTTGCATTTAATATTAATAAATAGAAATAATTAATTAGAAAGTTCATTTCAAACTTATCTTTTTTCATATGTTAAATTAAACAAATAAATATAACATTGAAAGATTTTTTACAAAAGAAAAAAAAAAAATAATTAAAAAAACAGAGATATTACAGTTTATTATAGAATTTCATATTGTAAGATTCTTTCTCAACATGTTAACTTCAGAATAAATATATTCAAATATTTAAATAAGTTTAAATATTTCTCATCAAATAACCTTGAAAAATACTTCTTAGATTTAAAACTCAATATAAAAACAAAAATCTTTTATTTAAAAAAACGAAAACGATCACATTATTAAAAATATAAAATAAAAACAAAACTCTGTTATCTTTTTTTTGTTTTTTTAAATAAAATTATCCACTGGTTTCTCCTGATGAACGTTGTCGAATTAAAGTTGATTTTGCAAATAATTGATATTCTTGATGAAATTTTTCTGGAAGAATATTTATATTAATTCGTCCTTTTGCAAGAAAAAATAAACATAAGGTTTTTAATGTTGGAGCTATAAATAAATAAAACATTTTATTTCAATTATCTAATTCATCAATATATATACCAATATCCAATACATAAAGATCACTTTGATCATAAAGTGTTGTTCGAAGAACTTCTGTATTTTGTATTTCATTGAAATGATTTATATATGTTGATGTTGATATTGGACTTGTTCCACCAAACATATACATTCTATCATTAATAACAAGACAACATTGTCGTCGTCTTGGTACTGGATTTGCAATACCATGAGGTTTAATATGATGCCATTCTAATGTTAATGGATTAAATTCATATAAATCATTAAAATGTGAACCAATTACATTATTATAACCACCAAATATGTACAATTTTCCATCATGAACAACTATAATTAATAAATATATTAAAATAACAAATAGAAAAAAAAGACAAACAAGCAGAATGTGATCTTCTTCCACATGGAATTTCTCCTTTTGCTGTTATTAATGACCATGAATTATATTCAGGATTAAAAGAATAAAGACGATCATCATATATATTTTGTGTTGTTTGTTGAGGTCCAATATGATCAAATCGTCCACCAAATACATACATTTGACCATCTAAATTTGTAGCTGAATGAAAATCACGCTGTTGAGGTATAACATCACCTATCTTTTATTTATATTTAAAAAAAAAACACGAAAAAATTTATTAAAAATAAAGTCAAAAAAACCTTTGGATGACGATAATGCCAAGATGATTTATTAAAATCAAAATAAAAAAGATCATTAGAAAATTGTTGACTCTAATCAAAATAAATAAATATTTAAAGATAATTATTTTAATAAATTTACATGATCTTCAAATCCACCAAATATATACATTCGATCATTAATAACACATGCAGAATGACCATCACGTGGTGTTGGAACAAAATCACCAACAATTGATACAATAGACCATTGACGAGATCCTTTATTTATTACAACAAAAAAAAACAAAGTTTTTTTTAAATTAACTTGAAATACTTATTACTAGGATCAAAACAAAATAGACGATTGCAAGCAACAGGATGATCATTACGTCCACCCCATAAATAAAATTTTCGTTTATATATAACAATTGTATGTCCATATCTTGAAAAAGGTGTTACATTATATTGTGAATCATTTCGTTGAGGTTTTGATAATAAATACCATTTTAATGTATCTAAAAATAAATAAATTAATTAATTGAGAAATATAAAATAAATAATTTATTTACGAATATTAAAAATATGAATATCAATTGGAGTAACTTGTGTATAATCTTCTTTGTGAGAATAACCACCAAATGAATAAATATAATTATCTAATGCACCAGCAGCATGATTCACTCGGCTTGGTCCATTTTCAATACATTGAATCCAATACATATTAAGTTTAATCTTAACAAAAATAGTTTAGTTTAGTTGCTCATCTTCTAAAATATTGACGATATTAGCCAATCAGATTGAAAGAGACAACTACTACCACCTTTAGTCTCGATTTCAAGATCAACAAATCTATAATTTTTTACAATTCTATTCAATTCCTGTTCATAGATATGTTTTTTTTACATACTATATCTGTAGAATATCTTATCTGAAAACAAAAAAAGAATTGAAATCTTGCTGATCATGTATGTTTCAAATAAAAATGGATAATGTTTAGCCATTAAGTATTTTATCAAGTTTTAGTTTAAATAAGTTCTATAGATTATCAATGTCATCAAAATCGCATGAAAATCGATGGTTTTATAGTAATTGACAAGTCCGATTATCGTAAGATTGTATTGCGATAAATTCAGATTTAAAAAAAGAAGTGATTAAATAAGTAACTCTTTAAAGAATTTAAAGTAGAACATTTTGAGGAAACATTAAAGAAATTTCTTAGAAATTCAGTACGGGAATGATAACTATAATAAACGTTTCTATATGGCATCATCATTTATTCTGATAATTCTATAAACGTCTTATAAATGAGAAATGGATGAACTTTTATTTTACTTGATCATAAATGGAAAAATATAATTATTGATAAAATTAAAGTTGCTATTAATATTAACAAAAAACAATGGAGGTTTTTTTTTGTAAAATGATACTAATTGATGAATCTATTATTAAAATTAATCAGGAAATAAATAAGTAAAAATTCATAGATTAAATATTTGTAATGACTCTAAATGAAAGATAATATATATATATAAAACATGTAATGAGAACTTATAATATTAAATGTATTAGCAATAAATATATGAATAGAGAGAAGAGTTATTATACTATTATGTTCGGAAAAAAGAAAAATGTCTATAAATCAAGTTCTACTCAACTAATTTTGATAAACTTTTTGTTTTATTCATCGGAAAATGATTATTGACGTCTAGAAAAGTTGAATGTAGAACAGTTTGTTAAGTTTTGTTGTTAGTGTAACTCAATGAGTAGTGAACTATTTGTCATAATGATTTAATACTTTTTTCAACTCATATACAAAAGTAATATCTCAATAAGTAAAATTAAAATTTTTTTCCATTCGAGAAAATTTTCGTTATACTAATAACGTGTAGAACGATATTTTTTGAAATATTCATACATTAAGACTGATTGATATATATATGATAATACCATACAGATATTGAATTTCATACAGGAAATTGTTGTGAAATTCATATTTTCATAGATAATTGACATTGCTTTATAAAATCTAACACTGGATTTTCTATTATCTGACAAATGTGACGAAATAAATCATTATATTTCTTCATAGATTTATCTATTTAATTCTAAAAATTCTTATATCAATAATTTAAACTAATATTTCTATTTTAATATAATTTTTATCAAACAATAGTCTAAAAATTTCGGTTTCAGTAAATAAATATTTATATATTTTCATTAAAATGAAGTAAAATTCTAGTTATTTACTCTTAGTCATAAATGATTAATCATCTATTTAATCAAATCATTTGTATGACTAAGTATTCTTTAACTAATACTTTAGTTTTTCTTTATCTCATTAATTACTATCATCTTTATCAACAAAAATCTTTGCATATGAAACATTATATGAAAGAAACATTTAATATAGGAAAATGTAAAAATTAGCTAAGAATCGTAAGTTAGTTTAATTTTAATCTATTGTATTATTGAAAATTTCAAATAGAAAATAAATCGAAGAGTAAACATCATAGAGATAAAATAAACTAGACAATCTATTTTTAGAAGCTTTTAAAGAAAAAATAATATGTCTATTCATATTATCATTATGTTCTTATTTATAAATAACTTAAACAATGTATTGAATGGTAAAATTATACATTTATTGTTGGTGATTATTTGACAAGCACATTAGAATAAATCGATCATTTCTTTCTTTTTTTTTTGTTTCTATGGATAATATGCATTGATTTTTCTTCTTACTCTGTTTGTAATTATTGTATATAATAAGAAAAGAAAAAGAAAAAGAAACAAAAATCTGTATACTTTTACATTCTTTCTTTTCATGAATATGTGATTTGACGAGTACGGTTCATTGCACACTTTCGTATAGATACAAAAGAAATCCTGTTTTAGCTCTTATTTTAACAAACAATATGAGTTCAGACGAACAAAATGAGGAGAAACAACAGCGTCGAAGCACTCCTTATACGTAAGCTATTTGAGTCATTATTCATTAAGTTGTTTTCATCTATTTGCGATATGTTAGTGAAAAAATTCAGGAACCTCCACAGCGTAATCCACCAATAGTATATAAACCATTAAAGCCTAAAGATTTTTTCGAAAAGGTAAATTGAAATTTTCATTTTGTTCATTAATAAAACTAAAATGTAAACAATCATTCGACTTTTTATCAATATTTAGTATCGTGATGATATTACCAGCAGAGTTTACAAAGTTTGGCCTAAAGTTGAGAAGAACTTCACATTAGAACCATTCCAAGCATCATTTCGTTATTATGACTATGGTGGTCAATATCTTTTTATGGTTTGTTTTGAATATTTTTAATAATATGAAAAACAAATGAGTTTTGTTTTGTTTTTGTTGTTGTATAGTGTGATTTACCTGACGGACGACCAACATATATAACAATTACCGAATCATTTGAAGTAGAAGATGGAGAACTAGCTAATGATGATGAAGAACGACGACGACGACTATGCATTAGTGTTAGCTGAATACTGGTTTTTTTTTAACAGACATTTTCTTATCGGATTCATTTTTATGATAATAGATCTTTATTTTGAGTCAACTTGCATTTTTTATTTTAATAAAGAAAATATTTCGCATTTGCAAGGGAAAAAAATTTTCTAAAAGATTCAAGTCAATTGTCAAGTTAATGATCATCATATTTAATCAATTTCGATGAAACTTCAATTTATTTTTCGTTTATTTAATATGTCAAATGGCTTTGTTGATAAAATCATGAAGATGTTTCCGAAACCATCTGTTCTCTGTTTTTTTTTTAATATTTTTGTTAACTAATGAGTATCAATATTTATTTATTGATAGCTGTATAATGTGAGGAAAAATGTTCTTCCACGAAAAGAGGTAAGGTAACACTATAATTTCAAATAAGATCGAAAAAAATATTTTATAATAAATTAAAAAGCATCAAAAATAGTATTTATCAGTATTAAATAGTAAGAATTATGATAAATTTTCAATATTAAGCTTATAAAATGTCTAGACATCGACAAAATACAATTATGATAACGTATGGATACCGAGTCATCAGACAAAAATACAAAATTTTTCAACAAAAATTGGTAAATCTATCATCATGGTAACACTATGACATCATAAAGTTATTAAGGGAGCTGACTACACAGAGAGTAGCAGCCGATATATAGTTTTTTTTAGACACTTAATAATTAAAGTTAAACTAGAATGAATGAGAAAAGTTGATATCATTATAGTATAGAATAATCGGAGCGTGTAACAGATGATATTCTTAGAATTCGAGAATCTCATGTTAACTTTGATTATAAAGATTTAAAGTAAACTTTTCATTTCAACAAAATTACTAAATTATTTTAAGTCTATAATGTTACTTCTAATTAGAATCGACCAATATAGAAGATTATTTGATTGCATATCATTCAGACTACAAACTTCGGTCTGGTTTATTCAAAAAAAGTAACATGCTTATCTATCTGACTAAAGATAAACAGTACGTAATATCTTCAATCTTTGCTCCAGACAATAGACATTTCATTCTAAATTTTTATCCTAAGTAGATATCTTATTAATTAGTGTAATCTGAAAGTTAAACTCATAAATAACTGAACTTATTAGGTAAAATGTTTACAAAGCGTTGTTTTTTTTTCATAGGTAATCTAGGAGCGCAAATTTATTTTAATTTGTAGGCGTTCTTGAACGATAGCATATTCACTAAAAAACAATCCTAGTCATCACATTAACAGTCAACAGCTCTACTTATTCTTGCTAACATGTACTGACTCCTTTCAACATATATTCTGATATGAGTATTTACTTTTTTCAATTAGTTTTCGTAACAAAATTTTTGTCTAGCAATATATTAAAATGTCAAGAAATATTTATATATAAAAGGGCGATATTAATAGTTCAACAGTGCCCAACTTACAAAAACTGATTATTTACTTATGAATATACAAAGTGAAAGACATTAGTCAATGTTATTTAATCTTTTAGCTACCTTCAAATGTTCAAAGCAAACGAAAAAACAGAAAAGTAATTCTTAAAATAAGAAAAATATATATAAATCATTCGCTCATATGTGAATATATCATATAATGAAGAGATTTTTAACATTCAAGTAGATAAAAGACAATACATGTATAGATCATTATAGAAATTTCATACTTGACATTATAACGGTGTATGCCAATCAAGTAGATCAAGCCTTTGATAGAAATATAATCAACCATGGAAACGTGCTAAACTGAGACAAATATCAATACTGACAACTTCTTTCTCTTTTTTAGATGTCTTTGAAGTTTTTTTTAGGATATACCTATCGTATAAAAGGATATTTAACCTTTATAATAAATAAGACTTTATCAAATATTTCAATGTTTTTATGATTTTGACTACATGATGCGAATATTTGTAAATGATCGCAATCGATCGACTGCTGAAAATCTTTTAGACAATGTTGAATCTGATGATTAATCATATGAGCTATTAGATAATACAATGATTAGTTCTTGTTCGTCTCATCCCTGAATAGATTTTGACATATAAGAAAAAAAAATCGTTTCAATATACGAATTTTATTTAATTAGACAAAAGCAAGCTTTTGAATTTTTGTCAAATGCTTGTGTTCTTTCGCGTTCTCTGCGATAA